TATGGCAACACCTGCTTTCTTTTGTTTGCCATTAGCTTGGAGTATTGTCTTCCATCCTTTCACTCTGAGCCTGTGCTTGTCTTTAGAGCTGAGATCAGTTTCCTGGAGACAGCATATTGTTGGGTCTTGCTTTTTAATCCATCCTGCCTCTCTGTATCTTTTGATTGGAGAGTTCAATCCATTTACATTTAGGGTAATTATTGATATATGAGGGCTTAATGTTGCTGTTTTGTCACTTATTTTCCAGTTCTTTTGCATTTCCTTTGTTTCTTGTCCCGTTTGTTTCGGACTGCCAATTCAGTTTGGTTGTTCTGTCTTATGACTCTTCTAGTTTTCTCTTTGTTTATCGTATGTAATTTTGTTTTGATTATTTATTTAGTGGTTACCTTGAGGTTTGTGTAAAAAATCTTGTGTATGAGATAGTCCATCATCTGATGGCCTCCTGTTTCCTTATACTAAGTCAATTCAGTCACTTTCCTCTTTGGCGAGCTTTTTAAACATACCAACCTGGTCCCATGGCAGACCCTTTGGATCTGAATCTCTGGGGGTGGGGCCCGGGCTTCTGGGTGTTTCAGAAGCTCCCCAGGGACTTAGGTGTGCACCATGGTTGAGACACACTGAACTGTAGGTGTCCCTCAGGTGGTCCCAGCTGGGGGCAGGAACCCCTCCACACAGGGCCTTTAGGAAATGGAAGATGCTCTTGGTTGTCATGTCACAGAGGTAGCGTTCCTGGCCTTCTGTGAACCGGGGACCAGGAGTGCCATACCTCCTGCAGTGAGCAGTTCAGCCCTGCACAGCAAAGAGTGGGTCTGCCCCAGATACCACTAGCGTGCCCATGGGGCACACTGTTCCTGGGCCCGCACGTTCTGTAACTGTGATTCAGAGTCCTTTACTCCAGTGCTAGCTTCTCCCCATTTTCCCTTTCTTGTAAAAACTAGGCTACCTATGGTTCAAGCCAGCTTGATTGCAAGTCTCAAGTTCCTGGGGTCTCTGCCAGGGGCCATGTGGTGTCTTTGAACCTGCCCAGCAGGTGTGCCATTGGCCCTCTCAACCCTTTTAATCCCTCAATTAATTTAAAGAATTGGGTATTGGTAGATACCAGTCTGCAGCTTCATCAATTTAGTGAGCTCACAGGTTTGGTTCTCTGTCTCACTCAGTCTGTCCCCAACAGTGCAGCTTCCCCTAAAATCATCCTTCTCACCTCAGTGCAGTGTTCATAATGCCCCTCTGACTTTCTGGTGTTGTTCTAAGGACACTTGTAGCTCAAGTCTGGTTGACCTCTGTTTCTTCACACTGTTGTTCTGTGTGACTCTTAGGATTTTGGGGTCTCAAATCACATATAAAAGCCCCAGAGTGTAACCCAGAGAAATGCATTGTTCACACATGGTCCGGTTCATCTTTTCTGGCGTGCTGTCAATGCCAGAAAACATGATCTGGAAGCATGCCGAAGGATGGTTGGGCGTGTGGTAACTTGTGGAGAGAAAAGCTAAAGCATACAGACAGGTTGATACCTGCAATAGGAAATTAGAGCATTTGCACGATGTGTAATATTTCACCATGATAAAGATTAAAAGAGCAGAACAGCAGTAGTTCCAGGTTCTCTGCTAGCTGTCTTACAAACATCGCCTCAGGGAGTCCTCAACTTGACCTTATGAGGAGATGATATTATTCCAGTGTCACCCATGAGGCAACAGGCTCTGGGAGGTTAGGTGACTTGGCTGATGTCACACAGTGAATAAGGGACCAGACTAGAATTTCTAACTCCAAAGCTGACCCTTTGGTCTGGGTGCATCTCTGTTCCTAGGGAGATAATTATTTCTTGACTTTAAGATGTTTCAAAAAAAAAAAAAAAAAAAGGGCCGGCTCCGTGGCTTAGCGGTTAAGTGCGCGCGCTCTGATGCTGGCGGCCCGGGTTCGGATCCCGGGCGCGCCCCGAGGCACCACTTCTCTGTCCAACCCGGGGCCGAGTCCCACGTACAGCAACTAGAAGGATGCGGACCTATGACGTACAACTATCTACTGGGGCTTTGGGGGGAAAAAAATGAATAAATAAAAAATCTTTAAAAAAAAAAAAAGATGTTTCATTTTCATTTAATGAAGAAACCGTTTGCAATCTCGACAAATTGAAAATCTACTTCCTGTTTTAAAAGTTACCTTTGATTTTTACATCTTGACTTTTGTAGAGGGATTCAGATTTAGCCAAAATATCTATAGATAGAATCAGAATATTAAAGCTGTGGGACTTCTCATATTAAGACCAGAATCCTTCCTCCACCTTCCCATTGCCCCCGAGCATCCCCCACGATGGGCACCTGCCAGGTCCTGACATGGCTGCAGATGCCTGGAGTGAGAGATGCGGGCTTTTCTCACACAGGTGCCCCTCCTCCCGAGTGGAAGGGTGAGGAGAGTTCCTCCCCTGCTCTCATAACTGTCCTCCCCCCGCCCGTCCACACGGGGAGACGGGTGTCCTGGTGTTTGCAGGATCCACGAGGAGGAGTCGGCAGTGGTGTGCCCTGTGATCGATGTGATCGACTGGAACACGTTCGAGTACCTGGGGAACCCCGGGGAACCCCAGATCGGGGGCTTCGACTGGAGGCTGGTGTTCACGTGGCACGTGGTTCCCGAGAGGGAGAGGATGCGGATGCGCTCCCCCGTCGACGTCATCAGGTCAGGGCTCTTTGTTGAGAGTGCCTCGTTGCATCTGGCCAACGTGTCAGTGAAGGCCCTTGGGAGTGATGTCAGCTGATGCCCCCTCCCCCTTTCTTTCTCCAGCGCATTTCTTTATTTTTATTAAAAATCGCTGCTACCCATGTAGATTTTATATTGGTATATATTTATTTATTTTAAAAATTCTGGTAAAATATGTATAACATAAAATTTACCACTTTAACCATTTTTAAGTGTACAATTCAATGGCACCAAGTGTGTTCACAATATTGTGCAACCATCTCCTCTGTATAGTTCCAGAACTTTTTCATCATCCTATAGAGAAACTCAAACCCATTAAGTGATGATCCCCTTCCTCCCCACCTTCAACCCCTGGTAATTTCTATTCTTTCTGTCTCCATGAATTTCCCTATTCTAGATACCTTATGTAAGTGGAATCGCACAATATTTGTCCTTTTGTGTCTGGCTTCTTTCACTTAACATGTTTTCAAGGTTCCTCCAGAACGTCATTCCTTTTTTGACCAAGTAATAGTCCGTTGTATATACATACCACATCTCGTTTATCCATTCATCTGTCTATGGACATTTGGGTTGTTTCCACCATTTGGTTATTGTAGATAATGCTGCTGTGAATATTCACATACTATTATCTGTTTGCGTCCCTGTTTTCAGTTCTTTGGGATGTATACCCGGGAGTGGAACTGCTGGGTCATATGGTAATTCCACTTTTAGTATTTTGAGGACACACTGTCAGGCCCCTTTTGAACTGGGGGGTGAGTGGACCTGGGGTGGAGGAGCCAGCTTTGGCCAGTGGGTCTGAGCACAGTGGTTGCGAGGGGGGCTCAGTAGCTCCCATTCTTGAGGTGTTGGGGTGCTAGTGCGGCTTCTTCCTCACCTTCCAAGTTCAGGACCAGATGGGAGACAGATGTAGGCGTCAGGCAGCTGGAGGTCAGACTGCAGCTTTATTGCTGCTGTGTTGAACCAGAAATGGTGTCTTAGATCTGCACCCACGTTTGGCAGTTGGGTTTCTGAATCCGTCTACCGAGCCCTGACCTTGAGATGACCCACTGCTGGCTGGAGTTGAACAAATGTGGAGACGGGGTTGAGGGATGGGGCTGGAGACACGAACGGGACCAAGTCATATCCAGCCTGTGATGCTGACGTCAACTCCCATTGCTCCCTCCCCATGCACGTGCTCAGGGACGTTGTGGCCAGCTAGCCTCCCCCTCCCATAATACCCCTGGGCCTCAGTTTCCTCATCTGTGAAATAGGTACCAGCATATCCACCCTGCCTATTTCTTAGACTTTTACGATGAGCACAAGTGAAAGTGCTTTGTCGTCTAGAACCTTCCCTTCCACAAGGAGTCTTGCTGTCCTTTTCTCTGTCGGCTTTGGGTTTGGAGTGCAGGGAAAGCCAGTACTTTGTCAAGGCCCAGAAGTGCTGCTGGAGGATCCTAAGATTTTAACCTGTTGGGCTCTTAATGTTGCATGTTTCCCCATTCCTGAATTTATTCTTTTGCACCTGCATCTCCGTGGTGTGTTGACCTCCCAGCTTTCTGCTGGGCTGGGGTGGAAGCCTTGGGCCATTTCTGAAACCAGTGCTGGCTTCTGGAGGAACTTGGTGGAGAGAAAACAGGGCCGACTGCAGAAGCAGCCAGAGCTGGCCCTCTGGGTCCTGGAGAGAGAGGAACGGGCCCCTGGGAGCGTTAAGAGGCCAGAGCTGCCTGTACGGCTTGTTCACCAGCCTCTAAAGGGCATCTGTGAGTCCTGGCACCATGACTGCGTGACCAAGGCCACACGGCCTGGCGGTTGCCATCCTCTCAGGGAACGTGGTCTCTTTCTCGTCCTTCCTTATTGTCACGCTTCTGAAACTACAAGGGTTTCTCTCCCCCTTGGGCCTTGCTCCTGCTGACACCTTCCCGAGAGCCATTCATTCTTCTTGGCTAACTCCGCTTTGTTCTGCAGACCTCACCTCCTCAGGGAAACTCAGCCCTACCCGCTGCCCCACGCCCTCCTCTGTGTTCCCCCAGGGCCCGGCCTGACCTTAGTTAACACATTGACCACACACAGAGTTCTGTGCTTGCTGTTGAAACATTTGTGCGCTTCCCCAGGGCAGGGAGCATCTCTGCCTCCAGGTCCAGCTTGGCGCAGGGCGGAGTGTGAATTCAGGGTTTGCTCAGAGGTGGGTGGATGGACCTGAGGGCTGTGGGAAGGGAGTTCAACTGACTGTGAAGGCTTCCTGCTGCTTACATATGCCATGTGGCTGTCACATCCTTCTAGGTCTCCAACCATGGCTGGTGGGCTGTTTGCTGTGAGTAAGAAATATTTTGAGTATCTGGGGTCTTACGATACAGGAATGGAAGTTTGGGGCGGAGAAAACCTCGAATTCTCCTTTAGGGTAAGTGTTCCAGTCTTCTCTTTGGACTCATTCTTAACCTGTTTCTCTCTCTCTCTCTCTGGGAATGATGGAATTTGCTACGAGAGCCGGTGGACTTTTCCTCCATATTGGCAGTTTATCCAATGATCCTGGAAGATAATAATGGCACGCACATTCTATAAACATGACCTTTTAAAAATATACTTGTAATAGATTTGGGTCAGGACAAGGCCTTGCCGGTGACCTGGTTCTTCCCTCTCCCTGTGGCAGCCTCTCTCACTGAGGCCTGCGGAGGGCAATCTTTGCCACATGTAAGAATTCTTGGAGAAACGTGTTAAAAAGGCAGATTATAGGCACAGTCTCCAGAAAATCAGATTCAATAGATATATGGCCGGGACCAGCTTTTGGTAACAAGCCCACCCAAGGATTTGGCTGTACCCCTTTGAGAATCCCCTAGCATTACAGTAGATTTTCCAGTTAACCAAATCTTGCATTTTAACTATCAAAACCTTATGTCAACGTTTGCACTTTTTAATAGAAAATTTAAAATTTTAATAATATTTTATGTAGTTTCCTGCTTTAAAAGAGTTAATAAACAAGAATTGGGCCTTCCACCGAGGACTCACCCCCATTATAGGTACCAGATGCCATGCTTGGTCGTACATCCTGGGTACTGTGGGGTGTACATGGCCGTTTGCCCTGGCAGGAGATGGCCCCCAGTGGCTCAGCCCGTTGAGTTTTGGGATGGGCTTTTAATGGTCTTTCTGCCTCTTCCCTAGGTGTCAGGTTGCTCTGCCTGCCTCTAGAAGCTCTTCCTTTCCCCCTTCCAAACCTCTCTTCTTACTTGCTGCTTTCCTATCTTCTGTGGCTAGGAGACCAGGTAATCAGCCTGTGTTTTACATAAAGAGTGGGCTCCCAGTGAGGTCCTTACGGTGCTCCTGTGAGTCAGGTGCATGAGCTGTAGTGCATGGACTTTGGGGTCTTGGTTCAATGGCTTGTTTGTCTTTGGGGCTGCTTTCGTGCTCTCACTGCATTCTGTGTCCTGCGTGTGGTGGGGAGGTGGCCCTGCCTCATGGAGGGGGCGGTCTTGGCAGTGTTCCTCGTGACTCTGTGTGCCAGCCTTCTCTCTGCAGGCGTTGTGGCCCAGAGGCTCATTCCCCGCTCACCCGCCCTGCCTCTCCCTGCTCTATGTGTAGATTTGGCAGTGCGGTGGGACCCTGGAGACACACCCGTGTTCTCACGTTGGCCACGTTTTCCCCAAGCAAGCTCCCTACTCCCGCAGCAAGGCTCTCGCCAACAGCGTCCGTGCAGCTGAAGTGTGGATGGATGAATATAAAGAGCTCTACTACCATCGCAACCCCCACGCCCGCTTGGTGAGTTCTCTGGCTGACCCGCGCTCCATCTGGCCTCATCTGAACAAAAGCAGCCAGGTGTGGCCTCCCGACCATAGTAGATCTGGTTCTAGAAATAGAGCATAAGTTGGGTGCTCGTGATACAAGTATGGGAAAACTTTAATCCTTTATTTATTTATTTATTTATTTTTGTGAGGAGGACTAGCTCTGAGCTAACATCTGATGCCAATCCTCCCCTTTTTTCTTGAGGAAGATTGGCCCTGAGCTAACATCCGTGGCCATCTTCCTCTACTTTATGTGGGATGCCGCCACAGCATGGCTTAATAAGCCATCCTTGGTGCGCACCCAGGATCTGAACCTGCAAACTCCGGGCCGCCGCAGCGGAGCGCACGAACTTAACCGCTTGTGCCACCGGGCCGGCCCCAATCCTTCGTTTATAATAATAACATACAACTGATTCTTGTTGTTCGCAGTAGTTCTATGTAGTCACTGCAAACGCCGAATTAGGGCACACTAAACCATTGCTCCGGGAGAAATCCAGGGCTAGGTTCCCGCGAGCCTATGATCACAATGTGTTTCTCAACCTATCAGTGTGTGTGTTTCTGTTTAAAGACACCTTGTTTCATATATATTGTTGATTCATTAACAATGAACTCATGGCCAATGACACCGTAACTCATGCCTGAACGAAGCTTTCTAACACATATTTTCTCTGTAAGGCACATCACAGCCTTCTTGCACTGAGGAACACTAGGCGGCGCTGCGCTTGGGGGCTGTTTTAAACAGTGAAGTCACCAACACAAAGCAGAAAAATCGGCAGAAAAGACATGGCACTAAATAGGCCGTGAACAGGACACTTGTTTACCATGGGAGAGCTGAAACAGGACCTCAGTTGGAGATGTGCGCACTGAGTGACTCAAATTTTTTGATGCTCTCGGCGCGTCCGCGAGTGACTGTGAAAGCTTGAAAACACCACAAGGGTTGATTTGGGGTTACAAATACATTTCAGCAAATAGGCAAATTTGCAAATACAGAATCAGCAAATAATGGGGATTGACTGCACCAGCATAGCCTGTGTTGGGTCCCTAGTCACGTGTCTGCAGTGTACACGTATTATGGCTCTTCCCTTTGTAACCAGCAGGACTGAGTCCATAAACTCAGGTGCACGTGAGGGCAGAGTTCTGAACCTTCAAAGCTCTTACTCAGAGGCGCACCTGCCTCCTTTGCTAGAGGTCTGCTTTCTCCCTCCAGAGGCCTCTTCCTGGCCCCCTGGGCGTGTCCAAGAACCCCGAGGCTTACTCTTCCGAAATGCGGAGTCTGTTCTGCTTCCATCTCCAGACGAAGGGAAGTGGAGAGTGGGCCGGGCCACCACCTGTCCCTTCTCCCCACCTGTTGTAGCTGTCGAGGGCAGGGCCCGCAGCCTCAGGGATGCTGGTCGCCCTCCCGCTCTGGGAGGCCTTGCTGAGCCGGTCTGTCAGAGCCATGGCAGAGGTGTCCCTGTGGGGTGCTGAGGTTTCAGCTTTGTGGGTTTGCTCCCTGTGGACCCTGGCCACACACTGTGCTGAGACAAGTCCAGCCGCCTGACACTGGCCCTGTAGGAGCCTGGCCCATCAGCCCAGCCGGTCTTTCCTCAATGTGGCCTGTCTCAGGGGCCTGTTGTTCTTCCTGCCTCAGAGCCTTGTTCTGCCCCTGCTGCAGGGCCCGTTGGATGAGGGGTCTGCCTCTTCTTCCCCAGAAGGTCCAGGGCCTCAGACACAGCGCAGTCCACTACCTCTGCGGGGGCCAGCTCTGCATGTCCCAGGACAGGGTGCCGCTTACGCCACGTTAGCATATCTAAGAGGGTCGCTTGGCAAGTCTAGATCAGCTCCAAGACCTCTCTTCTGCCGGGCTGCTTGATGAGACTGTCTTCTGAGTCCTCACAGCAGCCTTCAGGGTAGCTCTGAAGTTCTCATTTTATTTTATTTTGTTTTTAATATTTGTTTATTGCAGTAACATTGGTTTATAACATTGTATAGATTTCAGGTGTACATCATTATACTTCTATTTCTGCATAGATTACATCATGTTCACCACCCAAATACTAATTACAACCCATCACCACACACATGTACCAAATTATCCCTTTCGCCCTCCCCCCTCCCCCCTTCCCCCCTGGTAACCACCAACCCAATCTCTGTCTCTATGTGTTTGTTTATTGTTGTTATTATCTACTACTTAATGAAGGAAATCATACGGTATTTGACCTTCTCCCTCTGACTTATTTCACTTTGCATTATACCCTCAATGTCCATCCATGTTGTCACAAATGGCTGGATTTCATCGTTTCTTATGGCTGAGTAGTATTCCATCGTGTATATATACCACAGCTTCTTTATCCATTCGTCCCTTGATGGGCACTTAGGTTGCTTCCAAGTCTTGGCTATTGTGAATAACGCAGCAATGAACACAGGGGTGCACGTGTCTTTATGCATTGGTGTTTTCAAGTTCTTTGGATAAATACCCAGCAGTGGAATAGCTGGATCATATGGTAGCTCTATCCTTGATTTTTTGAGGAATTGAAGTTCTCATTTTATAGACACGGAAACTGAAGCTCAGAGAGAGGTGTGAGGAACTTGCCTGGGGCCTCGGAGCTGATGCGGTGGGACTGGGCTGAGGGTGTGTACTCTCCAGGGAACCTCTCTCCGCTCTGCAGAGCCCCATGGACCCTCACCCTGACCTTCCCCTCAGCCCCTCTGCCTCTGGCTCAAGGGTCATTGCATCCTCTGTCTTGCCCAAAGCTGCAGAGTAGAAACATCTGCTCTTCTCTGTCACCCAGTCTGGAACCCAGCTCCCTCTTCCTGAGGGTTCCTGAAGAATAATACGTCACACCTTTTGTCTGAAAGCCCCACGGCCAAGTGTAAAATGGATATTTGGTTGAAGATGAGGACAGAATGACTCTCATCAAAGAATGAACTTCTGGGAAAGAAGCAGGAATCTGAAATTGTACTCAAACGTTTTTCCTTATCATTACCATTTTATTAAATATTTAACTTGTCAGATTTTCATAGTTTAACATGATAGTGCAGGGACAATAATACCTCGGTGCTCGGCATTGCTCTGTGGCTGTACATTTGCTGTGCTAAATAGATGTTTGCTCTATTTAAATAGTCGAAAGGTCTTAATCATTGGTTTTGTCCATAAAACTAAACTTCCACAAGTATTGGTTACTGCAGCATTTTGCTCTTACCGTCTTAGGTATATATTTAGACTTCACTATGTTGAGCACGTAAGGTTTTCCTTCACGATGACATCTAGAATCCTTACGTGTGTTTGAAAGTGAGGGTTCAGATACAGTGGTAAATCAGAATGTCGTGGCCTGCGTGTGCTGCTGCCGTCTGGCTGGTCTGTGATGGCTCATGGGTCCCGGGATCTATCGCGGCCCCAGGATTTGGCTCTCTGATTCCATCAGCAAGCATCATGCGCCTGGTTGCACCTCCCTGTAGCACCTCCCTGTACCTGGGAATGTAAATGTTTGTGCAACAGTCTCTCCTACTTTAGTGCTGCCACCGTGTCTGAGCCCTGCACAGGGCCCGGCGCACAATAGGTGCTCAATAAAGCTTATGGAGTGAGTGAGCAGCAGTGGAGAGAGGGGCGTTGACAGGAAGCACCAGGACCTGCAGGGACTCACCGTTTTGTTGCTTTCTCAGGAACCCTTTGGGGACGTGACGGAGAGGAAGCAGCTACGTGCGAAGCTCCAGTGTAAGGACTTCAGGTGGTTCCTGGAGAACGTGTATCCAGAACTGCACGTGCCTGAAGACAGGCCGGGCTCCTTCGGGATGGTGAGCAAGGCGGGCCGTGCTGGCCTCAGGTCTGATCAACAAACCCTGGGCGAGAAAGGCCCCTTTGTGAGGACCGCTGGCCTCCCCCTTGTCGTCCACTGTCCCTCCTTCTCCTCGGGGGCGTCTGGGCCTCAGGTCCAGAATGTCAGCACTGGAGCCCTCTTGAAATTGGCGGGTATGAGCCATGCATTTTACAGATGAGGAGACCGAGGCTCACTGGTGTTTCCATGTCATGTTTTTACTGACCCTTATCACATTGCTTCAGGTCCCAGTGGCCGGACCAGTTAATAATTCCCAACTCAGGGATCTGCAGGGCAGTGGTGGGGATCGGAGAGCCACTTCTGCTATTTCACAAAACCTAAAGGAAATGTTTCTGGGATGAGGCCAACTAACATGTCTGGTGCCTTTGACCTTTGCCAGGAACGACACCAATCTAGTGAGCTCTCCTCTGCCATGTCGGGTTGATTGGAAGTGCTGGTGCTCCATTCTGGAAGTCTTTGATAAATGCAAAGGAGAATATTAATGCATTAAATTCAATTTTCATTATGAGAATGTTCAAACATACAGAAACGCAGAGAGAATGGTATAAGGAACCCCGTCCCCAAGATTCTAGAATTACCAGGACTTTCCCTCTCCTGCTCCACCATCCCACATTTTTTTCTTTTCACACAAACCCTGAGCATCATGTCATTTCACTGCTGTTCACTTTCTCTGTCTGTTTTCAGAGTAAGAGTTGGAACTTTGGTTTCCTCCAGTTGTATCCAATGGCTTGTTTTTTATTTGTTGGCTTATTTGCTTTTTGGCTTTTTCTTTTCATGAGTAGCACTGAAAATCAGTGCTGCTGATTTTTACATGGCCCATGTGCTTCAATCAGTTTAGTCGAGGTTTTTTTCTGTTCAGATTGTCCCGTCTTTGACCAGTGGGAGTCTCTTTATTGTGGCTTCTGTGATCTTGACCCCAGTAGCGTGGCTGTGGTAGCTTCCTTGGTCTGGCCATGCTCATCTCGTCTCATACGTTTGCTGCTTTTCCTCTCAGAAGCCCTGATCCTTAGTGGGGAGCGGTGTTCAGAGTCCAGAGTCTGGATGCCAGTGGTGGCCCTGTCTCTAAACCACGCTGTCCGACAGAAATAGAAAGCTAGCCACATATGTAATTTAACATTTTTTAGTAGGCGTATTAAAGAAACAAGTGAAGTTGATCATATATTGTATTTAACCCAATATATCCCAAATATTATCATTTCAACAGGTGGTTGATATAAAAATTAATTTGAGATGTTTTACATTCTTTTTTTCATACTAAGTCTTGAAATCTGGTGTTTATTTTACCCTTATAGCACATCTCAATTTGGACTAGTCACATTTCAAGTGCCCAAGAGCCACATGTGGCCAGCGGGTACCATGTGGGACAGCACAGCTCTATACTTTTTCAGTGGGCAGAGAAAGGAAATACATATATATTTTTTGTGTGTGAGGAGATCAGCCCTGAGCTAACATCCGATGCCAATCCTCCTCTTTTTTTTTTTTTTTTTTTGCTGAGGAAGATTGGCCCTGGGCTAACATCCATGCCCATCTTCCTTTACTTTATATGCGCCGCCGCCACAGCATGGCTTGACAAGTGATGCGTCAGTGCGCGCCCGGGATCTGAACCTGTGAACCCCGGGCCACCAAAGTAGAGCGTGCACATTTAACCACTTGTGCCACCAGGCCGGCCCCAGGAGATACATATTTTTGAGAAACAAATCATGAGTTCATTTTGATATCTCAATTCAACGTAATCTTACAGAATTTTTTTCTTCTTTGATATTATACTTGTATTTCTTTTTTCTTACACTGAAAATCTTGGTTTCTAAACATATTAACGTAATTACTTATTTGCTTTATCTTAAAATATATTTAAAATAGTTTCAAAAGAATAATACAGTATTACCACTGACAGTGTGAGGTTTAAGATTTCTTTGCAGCGTCATGTATCTGTTTAGAGAATGTATTTCCCTAAGGAAGTGTAGTCAAACATACTCTGCTCTAAAGTTGTTTAAAATCATTCTTTTTCTCTCTGTGTGTCACCAGCTTGATATAGTTAGCTTCATTAATCTCAGTTTCAATCTTCAGGGGTTTCTCTTTTCTTTTTCCTTGTAGTGTGTTGGCAGTTTCTTTGGTAGACCTTTCTGAACATAGGAGCTCATCTGAGGTCAAGGTCCCTTGGCTGGATGACAGTTGAGTCTAAGATGCTCTGATTATTCCCAGCATCTCCTGTTCTCAGGTTCCTTCACAAAGCGAAGGGGCCTCGAGAACAAGGAGGTCTGTGCTTTACGGGCTGAGGGATTGTGGAATCCTTCTTTCTGTGCTGCTGAGTCTTGTCTTCAGAACCAGGCTAGCAGGGGTAGACAAGGGCCAGGGCAGGAGTGAGGGTCAGGAGGAGCTGTTGAGGGTTCTTTGCACTCTCCAGAAGGGATTTGGAAAGTGCTTAAGCCTTTCCCCGGAGGCTCCTGGAAGGGAGGAGGGAGCATGGAATCTCCCATGGTTTTTTGCTCTTAGAATGATTAAAGGGTTTTAGATCCAAAAGGTGCCTTAGAGATGACATTAGATTAGACAATGCTGAGTGATAGAGAGAGCATGGACTTGGAGTCTGAGGTCCTGGATTCAAGACTCAGTTATCTCCACTTACTTGTGTGACCTTGGACAAGTCATTGGCTCTGTATTATGCTAGTCCTGTAGTCTAGAATGGTGGACTTCTGACCTGGGGAATGCTGAGTCTCTCAATTGGGGTGTTCTTTGCTGATGCATAATAGCAGAAGCTCTGTGTTACATATGCGAAGTGACAACCCAGCTGTGTTTGGATTAGTGCAGCAATAAGGCTGCACTAATGAGAAATGAAGAGGTCTAAGCTTTTGGGCCGTAAAGAGTTAATCTCCCTGTTCCTCAGGTTTGTCTTGGACTGGGGGTTATGATTCCTGCCTGCAGTATAGAATGGGAAACGCTCTTAAAACTAGAAATATAAGGGGCTCTTACCGTTGAGTTTCTTTCTTGAGACAGACACGCCTCTCACTCCATTACCCTCCGTCAGAGCCTGGGGGGGATTCTGTTGTTGGGTATAACTCTGGACCAAAATGCCACCTTTATGTTTTGTTTAGCTCCAGAGCAAAGGACTAAAAGATTACTGCTTTGACTATAACCCTCTCAGTGACAGCCAAATCACGGGACACCAGGTCGTTCTGTACCTCTGCCACGGGATGGGTCAGAACCAGGTGGGTGCTGCTTGTCTGTAGCTCGACGTGCTCAGGCTGGGCGACAGCAGACAACGGAGGCTCTGTGCTCAAGGGATCATTGGTGTGGGCCTCCAAAGAGGGAAATGAGGGGAAATCTATGAGTTTTTAAATATTTGATTTTTTTTCATTATAATGGCAATATATGCTCATTACAGAACATTTGGAAATATAAAAAGTAGACACAAGTGGTGACTACCTGGACCCAGAGTGACCATTCTAATTAAGACATATTTACTTCCCATCTTTTTTTATGCACGGCCTTTGGATTATGTTTTAAATAGACATTATCATAATGTCTATATGTTTTATAGTCTATTCTTTCCATTTACTTCATCCTTCTTTTCTTGTGTTATTAGACATCCTTTGAGAGTATCATCCTAGTGGCCTCGATATTCCTCTGTGTGGCTATATTACTGCTCAGTTAACTGATTTCCTGCCTCTCAGTTTTTGCAATTATAAATAACTCTGCTGCTAACATCTTCAGTCAGAAAAAAAAACGACAGGTCTGCATTTCAGATGACTTCCTTAGAATTAATTCTTAAATGGAATCATAGGTTTTGCTGCGTATTGCCACACTGCAAAGCAGCGTCTAGGGCATTGCTTCAGCAGATGGCTCCGGGTGGATCTGTCTGGGTTACATGCTGTATTTCAGGCTGCGCAGGGGAGCAAGTCCTGGAGGGTGTGAGGACCAGAGTAGGATCCTGGCCCACGGAAGCAGGTGGACCCATCGGGGGGGCCAGTGGAGGACGCAGGAGATGAGTGAAGCATTGGTCTGAACCTTCAAAGCTGTACTCTCCTGAGAGGTGTCAGACACATGGAAATGAAGGGGTGGGGGTTCAAGCTTTCCTCCAACCTGGAGTCACCCCAATTCCCTTTAAATATTAAACCCCCTTGTGGTCAACAGAAAACTTTCATAATTCAGACCCCTACAACCTTAAATTATTCAGGTGTTTCAACACTTTAGAGAATAGTGCTTCTCAAAGGTGGTCCCCGACTGGTACCATCAGCATCGCCTGAGAGCTTAGAAATGCAAATCCTCAGACCACCCCATCCCTCCTGAACCCCAATCTCTTGTTTTAACCAGCTTTCTGGGAGATTCATTTGAGAAGCACTGCTCCACGTGTCTTAAGAACAGCCACCTGTGTCAGAATCTTCTGGAAGGGAGGTGGTAGTTGGCCAAGTGTCTTTTTAAAAATGTGAAAAATGCCCCTTCCTCGCCCCCCCTCAGACAGAAGGAGTCCTTCTTCCCTCTCTGGGAGTGCGGCCCAGAATCAGGCTTTTTCCTAAGCACACTGGAGTAAGAAAACCATTGCTCTGGAAGAACCAAGTCTTCCCATTAGCAGTCATGTTGTCTGCTTGTGCACAGCACTTTATAGTTTCCAAGGCACTGATGCGTCCATGATGTTTGGGAGGAGGAGGAAAGGACTGACAAAAGAAGACGAAGCGGCTGGTCCAGGTCACGGGAGCCCCCATGTGCCGGCACTGGGACGGGTCCATTTTCTTCCCCCCCATTCTGCACCAGCACAGGGTCAGGCACAGCGGGCACAGGGTGACCCTGGCTCCAGCCCCGCCCTCACTATCTAACAAGCGAGATGGGCACAGAAGAGGCCCCTCCGTTCACACTTGCTAAGCACCACCCTAGAGGTGCACCGAGTGCTGCGGGAGCAGGTCAGACAGGCTGGTGTCTCTGGGTGAGGGAGAGTGAGGGACCCCGAGTCCTCATCCAGTGATTTCCCCGCTTTGCACGTTGGAGGGTCACTGACGCACATGGGCTGCTCTGTTTTTAGTTTTTCGAGTACACGTCCCGGAATGAACTCCGCTATAACACCCGCCAGCCAGAGGGCTGCGTAGCTGTGGACGCGGGAACCGATCTTCTCACCGTGCATCTCTGCGAGGACACTGCCCCGGAGAATCAGAAGTTCGTCTTGCAGGAGGTAAGCGAGCTGCCTCACTCCTTCCTGGCTCCGGTCCCCGGGCTGCAGAGGGGAGGATGGAAGTAAGGATGCTCTCTGGCCTGGTTCTGGCAAGTCTCGGGTGCAGCCGCCTACGGAGACCGGGAGCTCCACGGTGCGCCCATGTGGGGGAGCATTGTCAGAGTCCCACAGCACAGTCAGCTTTGCCTCTGTCCTCACTGTGGACTCCCTCTCAGTCTTTCCATCCCTCTGACACCTGGAGCTGCAGTGGGCTGTAACGGGCAGAGGAGCTGTCACAAATGTGTTGGAAGATGAAATGGGGTTTAAACAAGGGAAACAGCTAATGTAGAAGGACATGAGGTTAGATCCAGGTATAAGTCACTCCACTTCTCTCAGCCTCATTCTGGGGACCATAGCAGCTTTGTCCACCTCTAGTGAGGATTAGATGTGTGGCCAGAAATATTCTTTGGAAACTGTCAAGCTCTCTAGAGATTGGTTGTTACTTGTGGTATAATAACCAAGAAAACATCTCTCTGGTGGAATTGGCTCCCCTCAGAAATGTCATTGTCGAGTTGGAACTGGGTGTGATTTCAGGCCTGAGAGGTGCTAGTCCCACCACATTTGCAATACGCCCATGATGGGACTCATAAATCGGTCATATCCTTTGACTCACTAAAAGACACTTGAGGGAATAAATTCAAAGAAAATAATTCAAAAGAAAAAATTAGTTCTCTGTTATCTCCGTGGGAAGCTTTCATTCCTAGCCTGGCCCCAGGGATGGAAAAATTCATCTATACTGCCTATGAATGGGTTAAGTCTAAGTCTAGTTAGAAGTTGGAGTACATTTTCTTGTAGAAAATGTTATGATTAGCAATGAGATTTGCAGGCTCCCTGGAAAAGCCAGGCCCCATAGTGCTGTCTATCTGATATAAAAAAATAAGAGGGGAAATCCTTCTGCAGACCCCTGAAGTCTGTGATCCTCTGAAACGCTCTTCCCTTCTGTTCTTTCTTCCAACTGGAAGCTGTCGTAAGCCCTCAAGGAATGGTAATGCAAGACAGAAACCATAAAATTGGTTTGAAATGTCATTAAAATGTTATCTTCAATTTCAGTGACCATTTAAGGATAAGTAAGTTTCTTTAGAAGAGTGGGAGGAGGGGTACTTGATTTATTATTCCCTTTCACTTACCCAAAAGGCGACTTCTGAGCACTTTTAAGGGTTTTCAAGGTTAGTATTATTGAGATTCTTCGGCAAGTAACTTTATTTCCAAGGTTTCTCTTTTGCTGGAACAGATATGTTCTGCCTATTTGCTGCTCAGCCGTGACTAAGTTCCTGGGGGGCATCCAGCTCACAGCAGAGAGGTGGAGGGGAAAAATAAACTCCAGGACTGGGGCAGAGACGTGCTGAGTTAAGTCAGCATCAGTGGGGGTCGTCTTTTGGGCTTTGGGAGTTGGCGTGCTCTGTAGAACCCACTTCCTCTTGGATGACTTGCCCCCTCCCCGGGCTGGTCTGGGGCGGAGTGGGGACTAAAGCCAAGTTTCCTGACTCTCCATTTAAATACGTAAGAGAAAGAGATCGCCAGGGATGGAATTGGTTGACCTAAGAGAAGTGAAAGAGATTAATAAAAGATCTCTTTGGTCCTGAACAGCAGTAGGCATGAGACACAGGGTCTGACAGATCCCCGGCTCAGCCAGCAGGTGGCACCATTGGCCCTGCTGGTGGAGTCGGGGACCCTGTAAAGAGCCCCTGTGAGAGGCAGGCATGACACACGTCTGTACTCGCCTGGCCCCCCCGTGCACAGACAGTCCTGAGTTGCCTTCATACATGCAAACACTTACCCCTCAAGAAGTATTTTTGCAATGATAAAAATCACCCTGAGCTCTTAAGCACACGTTTTAAGGAAGAAGATACCTTCTGAAGAACTGCTTGTAATTCTCTTGGAATCCACTGTCTGTTATCTTTTGTAGGATGGTTCTTTATTCCACGTACAGTCCAAGAAATGTGTTCAGGCCGAGAGGAAGGCGCTGGGCAGCAGTTTCGTACCACTCCTGCGAGACTGCACCAACTCGGACCTGCAGAGATGGTTCTTCAAGGAGCGCATGTTGTAAAGTGTCGCTGCTCCAAGGAACCTGTGGAGGGAGACTGGGCCCTTGGACTCTGTGCCCGGCAGAGACTTAGCTAAGTACAGTGACAGTCCCTCCAAAACGTGGCTGCTCCTCTTTTGTAAGGAAATCATTTTGCAGTTTGTGAAAGTGATGTTGGATTTAGTAAGACTGTGAATAAGCTTTGTACTGATTTTGAAAACTTTAAAATTGTTCTCAACACCCTATTTTCAAAGGGTAATCACAAAATGTTAACTCTTGGTATTCAGAGAGTTAAAAACCTTGAAATATTTTTCTATCAAGATGTATATTCTACTGTTGTGCCTTTTTTATTCCCCCTAGCAGAAAGGTAAATATTTTATTTTGGTATTTGCAAGGATTGCCAGGTATAAAGATGTGTGCGCGTGTGGGAGTTAAACTCATCTAATGTACTTTGCATAAACTGATGGTACCTCGAATGTTGCGTTAGAATTTTCTCAGTGTAGACAGATGGGCACTAGGAACGTTGTACTGATTCCTTCAGGCCTTTGAGATGTTCTAGATTCATTTAATAAAGAATGCTGTTTGGTTATGTGTCACTACCATAGTCAAAGCGCTGGTTAATGTTTATGCTAGCCAAAGAGGACTAACCAAAGCTGGGCTTTCCAAGGAGCGGTGTGACTGCCCGGCTCCTATAGACTCCCCCATACGGGGCGGGCTTCTGACCATGCCTGACTGAGGCCTGGCCGGCCACCTTCAGTAACTACCACTATGACTTTGAAGCGTGTTTGCATCATTTTTAATTTTTACCGCACGTTAGTGTCTGGGGGAAATGTACTGTTCCTTATGAAATCCAGCTTCCAAATTGGTTCATTGATGATATTGGGTCATTAAGTCAATGTCAGATGTGATGTGCGGCAGCTGCTGCTCAGCTCTCTCAGGCCTTCTGGTTTGTGAGCCATCCCAGATCCACTTGTGAGATTCTGGCAAGTTGGTGAAGTCAATATGATTGATTTTTAAAAATGTGAGAACATTGCAGATCTTTGTTTTTGTAATTATTAGATGTGAGAGATGAAGACACATGTACAATTGATTAAAAAGTATCAACTGACATCTCAGGCTCTTTTTTACACACATTCCCTTCTCTGAGGGATCCAGTTTAACCGTTACCCAGAAAAAACTCCCGTGTACCTGGCTTGGATCCCACTTTGAACTTCAGTTTCTTCATCTGTAAAATGGGAATAATGAAGCCAAGCTCGTGGGGTAGTTGTTAGGATTAAATAACATAGAGCAGGTGAGGGCTTAGCCTAGTCCCCGGCATACATATGGGTTCATTAAATTTCTATTTTCCTAACTGCACTTTATAAAATATGAATCACAATAAACATCAGTAGGTGTTTATTCAAAAATAAGTACTAAATAATTTAGTTATTTTCTCTTTATGGGGGTCAGTGGCTCCTCAGTAGGCAGATATACGGTGTGAACCCTACCAGCACAGCTCAGTTCTCTCATAAATGTAACGTGCTGTGGGGCCGAGCCTTCCCCCCACATTGTGGTAACCTGTAAAGCAGGCCACATGGCCGCTCCACCTGTGATGGAGGTGAGTCCTGCCCCGCCACCTCCTCTGCCCTCTCTGCAGTGTCATCTGAGCTCCATGAAGGGAGTCAGCCCCTCCAAGGGTGTGGAAGTCAGTCCAGGCAGACAGAAAACTAGCGCTGACTAAATGCTTGCTGAGTGCAGGGAGACCACACGTGCATTCTCGGGTGTTCCTTGGGTGCTGCAGTGAATTACTTTTGCTTGAGAAGTCACCTCCCTTATGCCTGCCATCAGCTTATATGTGGTAATTTTTAGGGTGGAAAGACTAATAAAAGTAAAAATAATATTTTTCAGGGTGTCAAGGGAAATATTTTTACAGACTGGGAGGCAATTTACGGCGTTTTGGATACCGTTTCCCTTCACTGGTGGGTGAGGAGTCTGTGCCTGGGCGAGTCCCCGCCCGACCCCCTGGAAGCTGTGAGTTGGCTTCCGGTTCTGGTGTGTGGGGTCGGGAGTCTGGGGGCCGGGGCCGGCCCCGGCTGTGGCAGTCCATTCACCTTCTGGGACTCATTTCCTCGTCTGCATAATGGCGATAAGAATGTCCTCTGCTTATCTCTTACCTATATTTTTTTATTTACTTTTTTAGAGGTTGCCTTAAGGATTACAGTATGCTTCCTGAGTCTGTCACCATCTTCTTCAACTTAGTATTGAGTTAATTCCAGTAAGTTTAGCACATTTGTACCAGTATAGTTCCATTTCCTACCCCCCTTCTGTGCTATTATGGACGTATTTATTATACCTGTATGTGTTATAAACTCAACAATAGAATGGTATAATCATTGTTTTAAACAGTAAGAGAAGAGAAAATATATGTATATACACATTGTCTCATGTTTACCCACATATGTACCATTTTCCATGCTCTTTATTACTTCCTGTGAATCTGAGTAACCCTCTGGTGTCATTCCTTTTCAGTGTATGGACTTTCTTTAGTATTTCGTCTAGAACAGGTCTGTTAGCAATGAGCTCTCTCAGTTTTTGTTTATTTGGGAATGTTTTTACTCTGCCTTCAGTTGTTTGGAAGATAGTTTAGCTGGATACAGAATTCTAGTTGACAGGTTTCTTTTCATTCAGCACTGAGAATTTGAGATGTCGCCACTGTTCTGAGTGAGAGGTCAGCCATTAATCCTGCTGTTCCCTGTGTATGAGGAGTCATTTTTCTCCTGCTGCTTTTGAGATTTTCTCTTTCTCTTTCAGCAGTTCAAGATGTGTCTGGGTGTGGTCTGCGTTTATCGTACTTGGGGTTGTTGAGCTTTTTGGAACATAATTTAATGTTTTTAAAATCTATTTGGGAAGGTTTAGCCATTCAAATTTTTTTCTACCCTTTTATCTCTTCTTCAAAGTGGATAATTTGTGATGATTTTAAGTTCACTGATTTCTTCTGCCCTCTCCAACCTGCTATTGAGCTTCTCTAGTCATTTTTATTTCAGTTATTGTACTTTTCAACTCTGAATATCCATTTGGTTCTTTTTTGTAGTGTCTCTCTCTGTTGAGATTCCCCATGCATTAGCTCATTGTTAGCACATTTTCCTTTAGTTCTTTGAATATAGTTTTCTTTAATTCTTTGAATATATTTGTAATAGAGGCTTTGGAGCCTTTGTAACTTAGCAGCTTAAAACATTAAATATATTATCTTACAGTTTCTGTAGGTCAGAGGTTTCAGGCGTGGCTTGGCTGAATTCTCAGGGTCTCCCAAGGTGTTGACCGCAGCTGTGAGCTCATCTGAGACTCAGGGTCCTCCTCCAAGCTCAGTAGTTGTGGGCTGAATTCAATTCCTTGGGGCCATGGAACAGAGGACCTCAGCTCTAAAAGGCCACTCGTTCCCCAGCCCTGTGGCCCTCTCCACAGCATAACAGTTTACTTCTTCAAGGCCAGTAGGAGAGCATCCATTGCTGATTCTTATCTCTTTTAAGGGCTCAATTGATTAGGTCAGGTCCACCCAGGATAATTTCCCTTCTCTTAACTCAAAAGTCAACTGATGAAGGACCTTAAATACATCCACAAAATTCCTTCACTGCAGTGACATCCCCTCATATTCATAGGTCCTACCCACACTCAAGGGGAGGGATTTAAACAGGGTGTTACACCAGGAGACAGGAATCTTGGGGGTCATCTTGGAATTCTGCCTACCACAGACCACCCTCTGGCCCCCAAGAGTTCACATCCCTTCCACATGCAAAATACATTCACTTCCTCCCAAGCTTCCCAAGAGTCTCATCTCATTACAGCATGAGTTCAAAGTCCAAAATTTCATCATCTAAATCTAAATCTGATCCACTGAAAGTCCAGGTCCAGGTACAGGTGAGGTTCCTGGGTGTCATCTAGTAGGTGCAGCTGCTGGGACCCAATTCTCCCCATCTGCAGACCTGTGAAACCAAGGAGACAAGTTGTCTGCCCCACACACAGTGGTGGGATAGCAGAGGATAACGGTGACAGACATTCTGGCTCAAAAAGAGGAAAATGAAGGTCAGAAGGAGTCACAGATCCATAATGGTTTTGAAATCCAGCCAGGTAAATGTCTGACTTTCCTTGATTCGGTTTCAAGACCTGGGAAGGACCCCTGGGGGCTCTTGACTCTTTCTTCTGGGCGTGTGGTCCCACCCTCGTGTCATCCTTCCTTTTTTGAGAGGTGACACGTGTTTGCAGCTGAGCAGTTTTATCAGCCTGCTTCCTGCCAGTAGAATTTGGGGGTCCAGCAGCCTCCTTTTATTTTGTACTTTTTCTGTCCCTTTTAGTCCAAGTGGCAGTGTTTCTGCTGAAATAATTTTCTTGAGAACTTTGTAGGTCTTATGTGGATTCACAGCTTTTCACTCAACTAGACAGAAACCACATCCACAGATTTCACACAAATCCCTTTGCTCTCTTGGCCTCCTGTGAAGATGGCTGAGGGATAATGACCTTAAGCTTCCTAAGCTTCCTAGATGCCCCTGGTTCAGTTGAGAAGATCTGGGAGGTGCACACACCCTTAATGTCTTGCAAGGGCCCTTTGTGCGACTGAATTTTCTGACTTTTTGATGTTTCTGAGGTTTTAACAAAAGGTTGTACAGTCACGCACTCAGCCTTGTCTTTGTGCTCAGGTTCAGCTGCTGTTCTGATATTTAGCACTTTGTGCCATCTGAAGAGACTGAGAGTTTTCTAGATAATTCAGTCCTACTTACTTTTCATGTAATAGTTTTCCCTCGATTTCTCTCTCTCCTCTTGAATTTTACTCTAAGCTGCAGGAAGAAACAAGGCAGCATCTTCAGCACTGCTCGGAAATCTTAGCTACATAATCAGGTTCATCCATTATAAAATCTGTAACTGCAGGAGACAATTTTGCTAAGCTTTCTGCCACTATGTAACAAGGAGCTCCTTTCTCCAGTTTCTACTAACATGTTCCTCACTTCCTTCTAAGCCTTCGCCAGCAGCATCCTCCACATCCATATTTCTGCTAACAGTCTGTTCAAGGGAATTGAGGCTTTCTCTATCCTGGTCTGCCAGATTCCTCCAGCTTCCTCCCACTGCCCAATTCCAAAGCTGCTCCCACATTTCAGGTGTTTGTTACAGCAGCATCTCACTTCCAGGTACCAAAATCTGTGTTACTTTTCTATTGCTGTGTGACAAATTGCCACAGATGTAGTGGCTTAAAACAGCGCTCATTTCTTGTCTCACAGTTCTTGTGGGTCATAGGTCTAGATGTGGCTTAGCGGGGTTCTCTGCTCTGGGTCTAATGGGCTGAAATCGAGGTGTTG